TTGAGCTAACACATTAAAAGCAAATAACGCTTCTCTGGTTCGTAGTCCGTTTTTAAACCCAAACTGACTCATATTTTCCTTTTTTCAGTTTTTTATTTATACGAGCATGTATTATTTTCAGAAATAATTTGATTAGGAATTATTCACGAATAATTTGTCTCGTCCCATAAGTATGAATATCCATCTGCATTGAAAGCGTCAACAATTATGAAATTATAGACGGAAATTTGCGTCTTTGGGTAACCAGCACAAGGCACATTTAATATTGAAGGTAAGCTGATAAGGTCCGACACAACCGTCTTATACAGTTACTTAAAGAAAAACACATTGACAAAAAAGACTTAAGAATAACAACTCATCTCTACTTTAACCAAACAGCAAAAGTCAGAGTCGACAGAGAACTTTCAGAGGAAGTAGAGATAAAAGAGGCGTAAGGCAAGGTTGCATACTCTCCCCCTTATTGTTCAATCTATATTCGGAAGAAATAATTAAAAAATCACTCGAAAATATAACAATTGGAATAAAAGTCAACGGCAGACCCATCAACAATATCAGATATGCCGATGATACTATACTAATTGCAGAGAATATACAAGATCTACTGACACTTTTAGATAATGTAGTAAAGTGTGGATAATGTAGTAATGCTAGTGTGGAAAGTGGACTAACCCTTAATTTTCCAAATTTATGATGACAATTTCCAAAACACTACAACAAGAGAGTTTAAACATAAGAGGAGTTCCAATAGAAAAAGTAAAAAAATACAGATATCTTGGTACAGTTATTAATGAAAATAACGAGTATACAGAAGAAATAAAAATGAGAATTGGACAAGCGCAACATATAATGAGATGAGAAAAGTATTATGCAGTAGAGACCTTAGGTTACAACTCAAAATAAAAATACTACGTTCTTATGTGTTTTTGGTGCCGCTGTATGGGGTGGAGCGATCGACTTGAAGCATTCGAGATGTGGACCTACCGAAGAATATTAAAAATAAGTTGGGTAGACCAAATAACAAATGTTGAGGTCCTCAGAAAGATGACAAAGGAAATGGAAATTATGAATACGATTAAGATAAGAAAGTTACAGTATCTCGGCCACGTTATGAGAGGGGATAAATATGGATAAGATACAAACGATAATGCAGGGAAAAATACAGGGAAAACGAAGTATTGGAAGAAGACGCATATCCTGGCTCATCAATCTGAGAAAGTGGTATAATTACAGGTCCGACGACTTGTTCAGAGCTGCAATCTCAAAAGTAAAAATAGCTGTGATGATTACCAACCTCCTTAGAGGAGATGGTACCTTAAGAAGAAGAAGTAAGTCAAATGTAATTGCTCGAAATATTTTACCTTTATTGTCGACGGTTTTCTATTTGTCACCTGCTTTCATTTCCATTCCACTTTTTTTTTGCTTTATGTGCCTTTCACTGACTTTATAATTTTATTTTATCTGTAGCACTATTATAGACGTTACATGTTACACATTGATCATTTTTTAGTTTATAAAATAACAAAGCTGGATAATTAACATTAAATACTGATCTAAATACATTGTAATTAACAGGTGGTACATTATTTTTGGTGCAATAGTCACTGCAATATAAACGACCAGACACACTAATATTACACTCAGTTGACAATTAGTAATACGACGACAATAATGGGATAACATTGGAGGAAACATCTTAATATGAGTCTTAATATGGTAAACTTGCTCAGAGGATGTTGTATTTGTAGCTGGTATTCCTTTGCGATGGTCAAAGCCGGCATTAACACCACTGTCTCCACAATACTTCCTACTTTAGTTTCAAATACTTGAAAACTAAATGCAAATATAGCACAAAATATTTTTTGGCACATTCTTACACGTTTATTAAAGCCAGTCAAAAATATGAATAACGAGTATGTTCTCAGGTTTTTTGTTCTCATTGTGATTTCTTTCTCTGTAAATGTTTTTCTTTTCGAGTAAAGAGCAAATATTTTTTTTGTTTTGTTAAATCAGTGAGATTCTATAACTCTTGGCAAATGATTATTTGTCTTTCTCGAGGTATTTTTATAATACATAACCTATAGTTGTCGCAATCAATAATACGTGGTGACTAAGCTCTTACTGTTACCCCTTTTCTGTTTACATATTCTTTGCCAGTCAGTGTTAACAACTTTATCTTTTTTTTTACATAATTCTGGTTTACTACTAGCCAGCGTTTTTTTCCTTTTTGTGCTGAACCGTCTATGCTGTACACTACAGGAGAAAGGACTTGACCATTTTTTGTATCATTTTTGTTTTATCTTGATTTTAGAAGTGGAAATTGAAAGGTCAATAAACTTAATTTAACCTTTAAAGCTTGGCTTATTCTCATTTAAATAGTAATTTCTGTATCACTAGCTGAACTACTAGTATTTTGGTCAGACGGGGGTCACTTTTAGAGTCGGCAAATGGCTCGTCAACACTACATTCTGATAATCTTCTTCTCAGGAAAGGCCCTGTCACTGTGGCAAACGTCTCGTCGACGCTACACTCTGATAATCGTCTTTTATGGAAAGACCCTTCCACTGTATCTAAATAGACGTCGTCTTGATTCTCATCTTTTAGATCTGTAATAAGTCATATAATAATGCAATATGCAACCCTAGAGAGGGTCGACAAATATAAATACCTCGGAGCAATTATAAACTCACAGTTAGATCAAGAGCAGGAGAAAAAGGTCAGAATAAAAATAGCTCATTATTTACAAATAAGAAATTGAGTATGGCCATTAGATTGAGGTTCGTCGAATGTTATGTTTGGTCGCAACTACTATATGGGGTAGAAGCTTGGACTCTGAAAGCCCAATCTATAAAAAAATTGAAGGCATTCGAAATCTGGCTATATAGGCGTATTTTGAAGATTCCTTGGACTGCAAAAGTCTCAAATGAGGAAGTATTAAGACGAGTTGGACATGGCAGAAAGCTTATGAACACAATTAAAATAAGAAAAACATCGTATCTGGGCCACATACTCCGAAACGATAAATACTTTCTGCTACAAGTCATCATGCAAGGTAGAGTAGAGGGAAGAAAAGGCTTGGGAAGAAATCTTGACTGAGGAATATCAGAGATTGGACTAACCTCAGTGTTGAACAGATATTTCACGTTGCAAAAGATCGAAAAGCGTTTAAAGAAGTGATCGCCAACCTTCGTTAGAAGACGGCACAAAAAGAAGAAGAATAATGCATGATATAGTTTTTAACATTCGTCACTATAATTGAACCAATACAAAATATTCATAATCCATTTACTTAACATTTCTTGCCATCTGAACAATTCGCTTCCCTCGGTTTATTTTATTTTATTTTATATCGAATACTACACAGCAGTGTTTAACAATTACGTATTTAACAGCTTAAGTCGATATACAACACTGGACACTGGACCGGAACAAAATAACAAGACAAATTTCTACGAGCACGAGCACAGATTGCTATTTAAACCACTTCCACACTTAATTGCTACCTTTGCGCAGACGCGTGCAACACGTACCATAGGCTGACGAGTTTCCAATATTGTGGACAAATATTGTATCTAAATAGACAAATCAGGCCTACAAATGCATGACGTGAGCTTCCATGAATACACATACGTGTGCAAATGTGGACGGCGCTTTTGTAACCTTTCGCCGCATGCGTTGCTTCTCGCGAATGACTTGAGCACACATGCTGCGAGCCAGAGTCAGAGAACTAATGCCAGAGTGGTCTTGGTTTTTTCGCACACATTAAAGAAGCATGCGTGTTCGTTAGCGCTCAGTTTAGGCGGATACCGTGGGGATTTGTTGCATTTGCAAGACAAGTTCGGATCATTTACAAATGAGTTTTATTCATTTTGTTGATTTATGTATAAAATGGAGTTGTCAAATGAACAATGTTTGCAATTAATAGGTTTGTATGACGAAAACCCTATATTATGGGATCCAAAAAATAAGTTTTATTATTCAAAAACAAAAAAGAAGATGCATGGGAGTCGATTTCAAAAAATCTTGATACAGATTCAGCAGTTGAGAAGAAGAAAATTAGCAGCTTACTTGGGTCCATTAGGACTCAAAGAAGCAAATGCAAGAAGCCCGTTAGTATACGAAAAGGTATTGTGTTTTTACAGTAAGTACAGGGTGTCCCAATTTGGGCAATTTTATAGCTATACATATATATATAGACCCAACAGTCGGACTTCATTTGTAGGGTTCTTCTTTTTAATAAATGCGTCGTCCACCATCGCCTAGTTTTCTTTTGTTTTTTCTTTTTAATGAACTAATAACCACAAACGCGGCACTATCCATAAACAGCTCCTCAGACATTTTTTCACGAATGGATGGAGCGCTTTGAGTACACATACATATCCAGGTGATTTCTAATTTCAACGAATGCTTTGAGCGCGAATGGTTTGAGTATGCACGCATATACGTGATTTCTCACTGCATGCGTGTGCTAGTCTGTACGCGCCTTTGTACATACAATAAAAGAGTCGTTTCGTTTTTGAATTTTGTGAGCGGCACAAATATTGCATTGAACATACAACATTTGTGCACTAAGCTTATGGTGATTTTAATGGACATGTCTTTAATGCTATTTTTTTAACTATTATAGTAAAGTGTTCTATGATAATATACCATATTTGAGCAGAATAAAGATTTCTTCTCGACCGGTACAGACCTGTACGTATCTCATTTATAATAAAAATGAACATACTATATTTGTCCTCTTAGTACTTTACTTATTTTATAGTAGAACAATTATTGTAATAATTAATTTAAGACATTTCGTAATAAATAACTGTTTAATAGTAAAATAGTATTCAATACGCTCGAATGCACTGGTCTGGGTTGATCCAATTTATTCTTTTGTTGCAGGTTAATTCTTTTAATATTTCATACTACCGCAAAAATATAGAATTGCATTATTTTTTCATTCAGTATAAAAATATTTGCTAGCAATTTAAGTCAAACCTAATAACCCCACAGCACGCAAACGTATGGTTTATAATAAATAATGCGCTGATTTTCTGAAATATAATTGCGTGTTTAATTGGGATTGCCGTTAATGATTGACGTTTAAATATATAAAATAAAACCAATTCACTATTATAAATACCTCGTGCCTCTTCTTGGGTACAATACTGAGAGTGTATTTTTGTTTATACTACGCCTTGACATGAAGATTCTGTTAATTTGTTGTACTATTGTGGCAATTTGGGAGGTAGCAACTGGTAAGGCAAGTAACTATATCAATTTAATTTAAAACTAATAAGTAGTACAGTAATATGATTTCCATATTGTTCTAGTCAAAACAGGAAGAGTATTCTTTTGTTGTGGAAGTTTCTAAAAAGTTAGATTATCATCTAAAGTAATGCATTTTGTGTTCGATACATACTTAAATTCAGAACAAAATAGTAGTTTGTAGTGTGTAATAAACTCGACTAAAATGTAACTAAACAACTGGTTACCATGTTTTTTACAGTACTATACAGTATACAAACACATACATAAATTTATAATTTTATAGTAAGAAGTTTGTTTAATAATACTTTGTTTAGATTAGTCTTTAGTCAAAGTTGTATTTAAATTATCAGTACATGACGATTATTCTTTTAGTGCTGCAACATTAATTTGATAATATATTTTTTTATTAAGTTTGTTGTGCATAACTACAAGGTTTTTGACACTGTGTCAATTTTGTTACTGCGCATTTTACATTACATTAGGTATAATCTACAATAAAGAGAAGATGTGAAAGAGAAAGTAATAAAAAGGAATACGCTAAATTTTGTCATACAAGTTCGTTTCTCGAAGGAAATTTAGTACATACTAAACAAGTTCTAATTGGCTTAGGATAACATTTGTAAGACCTAGTTTAAAGTATTTTTTTTGTTCTTGCTCGTATTTAGTACACTGTGTAAAATATGTTGAACAGTTAATTATTCACGACACTTTTTACAAAGGTGATTTCTCCTAAGATATTGGGTGTCCATGTGTCAGCCGTGTGTGACCAATTCTTAGCCTGCGAAGAATTAATTTGTGTCTTCTACGTAAGTTAGGTAGCTGAGAGGTTTCGACGGTAGGTTGTATTTTGTGTAATTTCGACGTTGAACTTTTTCATTGGTATTGCCAGAACTTTTTGATTTGGAACCTGAAAAGTGGTTTTAGATCTGATGCTAGTTGAATAGATTCCATGTCTGATTTCGTTGTAATCGCTTCTTTTGTAGCAATATCATCAGTCTTATTATCTTAAATGCCAACTTGTGAAGCAATCGAGATTAATGTTATGCTTGTTCCACAAGAAGTGAGGCAGTTTATTGCTTCATATATGGGATGAACTAATGGCCATTCGGAATATATATATATATATTTGATCTAGTCGATGGTAGACATCGAATCTGTACATATTGTAGTTTTCTTCGCTGAAGTTTGGTTACATAAGCATTTTATTGATTGTACTATGGCGTACAGGTATCCTGTACAGTAGTATACTATAAATAGAAGTACATTCTTAAAGGCAGAACTTTTGAATAATATTGTTTAAAGTGGTAACAGAATATTCGACACCTGTCTCAGTTTTATATGCATTTCTGTAGAAAATGTCATATGAGTATGTTGACCAGTAAAGAAATTTTTTATGCAATATACCAAAATTACTACCAGTTGAAATACGAAATTTGGCTGTTGGTTTAATTTTTGTGACAATTATTAAGCGAAAGGTTATTTTTGGTATGTCATTAATCCAAGGACTAGTTGTTGACAGTATTTGATTATCTGTTATTGAAATATGAATAGGTCGTAAATGTGGGAGTAAAATTTGAAATAATTTATTGTTATGCTCACAATTATTCTATCAATTTATATATACAGCCCTTGATGTCCAATTTTGGACATAGGAATCCTCTTCCATTTTCCACGTCTCTATATTGTAGGCAGTTTGTATCCACTTCGGGCCTCCGTGTTTCTTCAAGTCATCTGACCATCTCATATGTGACCTTCCGCTTTTTCGTTTGTAACTATATGGTCTCCAGTGTATAATCATCTTATTCCATCTGTCGTCTTTCTGTCTTATGGTATGTCCGGCGAACTTTCACTAAAGTTTTGTTATCTGCGCGTTGATACATCGGTCACTTTTGTTTTGTTGCGGATCCAAGTATTTCTTTTTTTGTCTAATAGCCTGATGTTCAACATTTGCCTTTCCATCGCTCTTTGGGTTTTCGCTATTTTTTTAATGTTTTCCTTTGTAAACGTCCAAGTTTGAGAACCGTAGGTGAGAACAGGAAGTTTACATTTGTTGAAGACTCTTATTTTTAAATATTGGGGATATTTTTTATTTTTTACTTTATAAAAAAGTTTTTCTAAGAATACCCAAGCCAACCGTATCCTTCTATTTATTTCTCCGGTCGGATTTTCTCTATTTAATTTAACTAGTTGTCTCAAATATACATATTATTTTACTTGTTGTATAGTTGTTTGTGCAATTGTAATTATTAATAATTTTTCTGGTTGGTTGGTCATAATTTCCGTTTTATTGTAATTCATTAGTAGACCTATGTTTGTTGATTCGCTATTTAATACATTCTTCATATTTTGTAATTCTTTCCAGTTATCTACTAATAATACAATGTCGTCTGCATATCTCAAGTGATTCAAGTATTGGCCATTTATGCTAATACTCCTTTTTTTCCCTTTTTGCTAATACCCATTGACAGTATAATACAGTATTATATTTTGAAAGAGAGGCAGAAGTCACAAAAATATTAAGTAAATATCACACAAGAATATTATTAAATAATTCATCCTTACTCCGGTTACAAAAGATTTAGAAATGTAATTCTTCCATGAGTGTTTCTTACTTTATTTTAAGAGATACCTCACCATGGCTTTAAGTTTTTTAAAACAAATCAAATTTTCGTCACAAGGTTGTAGCAGTTGTCACAATCATGTATCAGTGTAGTTTGTGTTCTATTGATGATACCAGCCACTTCTTTCACTTTTTTATACCTATTAAACGAGTTTTTCAGTTTCTTAACACTGTTTGATGTTGGCTTAATATTGACTATTTGCTTTTTGCATTTTATGTTAAATTTATTTTTGTATACTTTTATAAATTTTGTCTTGTTTTTTGCTGGTAGCCGTTGTTCCTGTAAGTGCAATATGTATTCTGTTATATAAGTGATTTTTTAGCTTTTTTCTTTTAAATTCCTTTTACAGGTTTTGTTAACTATTGCTATTATTTTATTTAAGACCTCATCTACATTACCACCAATATTTTCTTACATTTTTTTTTAATTTAAAGGCACAAAGTCGCATCCACCGAAAGGTTATTAGCGACACTCTTGTAACATTTGTAGTAATATTAAATTTAACATTTGTAACAATTAATCATTGTAACAATTAATTACAATTTGTGAACAATTGAACATTTGTAACACTTAATTAGGTTAAATTTTGTGTAACACATTTATACATTTTAAGTAACCTAATCAATGGTCCGGTACTAACTTTTGTTGAGGAGAGCTTTTAGGTTATTTGGTAAATTGTAAAACTGTCTTTGATTTACATATTTAGAACAGTCTATTAAGATGTGCTTTATAGTGTCTACTGTATTGCATGTTTCGCATTTTGGAGGTTCACTATTTGAGAAGAGATAGGCGTGAGTATACCTAAATTGTCTAAGTCGTAGACGTGTAATAATCGTTTGGCATCTTCTACTTCTGGCTGTGGAGTTCCATGAAAAAATGTCACTTTTGATGTTTCTGAGTTTCGAACTAGAGTCATTCCACTCTCGATTCCACGCACTTAGCACCTTATTTTTGAAATAAACTTTTAGATCGCCTGAGACAATCCGACACTCTGTTTCTGAAGCGTCACTGGTGATAGCGTTACGTACACTAGTATCTGCTTCTTCATTCCCTTCTATGCCTATATGAGATGGTATCCACAGAAAGTGGATTCTTCTAAAATTTTCATTAGCTTTCATTAATTCGGCCTTGATAATTGTTTCAATATGGTGTTTACGGTATACATTTTGCATAGCTTTGACTGTGCTGAGAGTCAAAAAGGACTAGACAATAAGGGATGTTTTTGATATTTACTTGCTTGATGGCTTTGAACCAGAGATGTTGGAGCATAGCAAGGCAATGGAAAAATTCATTACTATTCCACTGAAGTAGAGATTTCAATTTAAATGCTGGCTTAATTGAGATGTGTCACTTTCCGCGTCCGATACCTCACTGTCAAGATAATAATTATAGATTTTTTTCATTGTGGACATGAATTTAAATTTTATGACTCTTTCCTTTAAATAGGGGTAAACTTGACTGAGCATATTGAAGAAAGCTGATCTGGTAAATTCTTAAATTGTGGTTATAGGACCTGTTGATCCCGTGATATTCATTAGGAGCATGTTAAGTTGATTACAGTTTAGAGGGAAAGCTAGAAGGTGATTTTCTATGAAGTTTTTAGCAAGATTAAGCGAGAGAAAAAATATGCATTCAGGAGTGCTTGCTAAACTAATTTTACCTTTTTTTTCTTGCTTGCTTGGACTTTAGGTGGTGGAAAAATATTATATTCTTTTAAAGATGAATCTGCTTCAGGTAAAATAATTTCATCAAAGTTACGTTTTGGTTGATTCATTATGTGACTGCCCTTATTTTATGCATTTACTTTGTTCGGTATCTCTGGGATATTAGAAATAAACATTTGTTCACACTGAAAAGAATTTGGGCCAGTTAGTGCTTGCAAGGATACATTTGCTGCGCTTGATACCGTTGCTTCATTGTTTGGGTTGGGGTTTAGTTGAGTTAGTGGTTCGGAGCACTATAAAGCAATGTGACCTGGCTTCATGCATCTAAAGAAATCTAAACTGTCTTGAGAAATGAATATTCTATATATCGTGCTGTCAAGAACAAGACTAAATGACTCTGGTAGTGTTAGACTGTGAGGACTAATATAGATTTGTCTTTAAAATCTAAGGATGTTATTGTACTCAGGCATAGAAGCACAAATTTTGAGGAAAGTCGTGGGGGAGACAGGAACTAAGTCGATTTTTTGTAACTCATTAATTAGCAAGTCGTGCGGTATTGAAGGACATACGCCAGAGAGCACAAGTCTTTCCGCTGATCTAACTAACTTTTTTGCTCTAACAATTCCACCTTGTATTTCTATTTGACCATTATTATTCATAAAATCATCCTCTATTTTTTTATTGGATAAATACATACATATGCGATT